AATGTTAAACCACAGATGGTATTGGATCAATGGTTCAAAGGAAAATCAAAAGAAACGTCGATACCTCCAGATTCCGGTTTCAACAATGAAGAAGAATCTATAGAGATGCTAGACTCTAGTTTATCTACTGTAAATATTAATACAGACGAAATTAAACATAAATTTGTTAGTTTGGCAGATAGTAAAATCTTGATCGTCGTTGGCACTTATTTGATCGGTAAAGAGAAGGTGTTTTGGGGTAAGTTGACATAATCGAAACATAACGAAAATTCAAATTGACGAGCATTATAATTTTTTTTATAGGTATCGCGAAAGCATTAAACTCGAAAATTTACGTGTCAGATGCCAAACGAAAGATTATTGTATGTCAAGAGAACCCTGAATTGGAAGCGCTTTTAACAGACAATCCTCGAGAAGCTTCTGTGCATGTTATGTGTTTAACGAAAATAAAACCAGAGGTATATTAATTAATCTAATAGCATTCCACTCAGATATATATATTAATACTAATAAAAATATAACGATATTTATGAAAATATTTGTATAGGGATTGATATGTTATCTCCAAAATTTACAGCCAACATTTAATCATGTAATGGCATTCCGGCCCACTGGCTGGGCTTATAAGCCCTCTATATGTGGGACCTTCTCAACATCGTCAAAAACCGAGGAGATATTGAATAGTGCTCCTTCTTACACTATGGATTTAATAAATCCGACATATAATTCTCCAACATGTCAAATCTTTGGCGTTCCCTATTCAGAACACTCTAGTTTCCGTGAGCTTGCAGCATTCATCATGTCTTTGAATATAAATCGAATTATACCAACAGTAAACATAGAGTATGTCACTTAAAAACCTATATTTATTTGATACAATTTATTATATTTATTTGTTATTTCTTACAGATCCGCAGAAAGTCGGAAAGAGATGGATTATTGGTTAGACAAATGGCAGAATGAAAAGAAAAAGAATCAAAATATTAGAATTGCACCATATTCTATTATAGATCATTGGTAATCTTAGAGATCTTAATTTAGCAATTCTAAAATATTAAAAATCAAGAATTGTATCGCGCTTGACTGTTACGCTTAATAGTGTGCATACTTTTAAGTATAGATCTACTTTCGAATTTTTAAATTCGTCGAATTTATTAAAGATTCTTTTAATTGCTTTATCATGTTAGCTTTCTCATGCCTGAACGTACGAATCATGATATTAGTGAAACATACTGTAGTATAATTAATAA